GCTTAAACCCAAGAGTTTGAGGTTGCTGTGAGCTGTGATGCCACAGAATTCTAACAAGGGTGATATAGTGAGACGGTCTCAAAAAATAAATAAATAAATAATAAAACATTTATCTCTGGAGAGAAATGGAAAGAGCTAAAAGAGGACTTAAAATGTAGCTTAAGACTTAAAATGTAGGGCAGCCCCTGTGGCAGCGCCTGTGGTAGGGCACCAGCCCCATATACCAAGGGTGGGGGGTCCAAACCTAGCCCCAGCCAAACTGCAACAGCAAAAAAATAGCCCAGAGTTGTGGCGGGTGACTGTAGTCTCAGCTACTCAGGGTGCTGAGACAGGAAGATTGCTGAGCCAAGGAGTTCAAGGTTGCAGTGAGCCATGATGATGCCGCTCCACTTTACCTGGGGCAACAGAGTGAGACCCTGCTTCAAAAACAAAATAATAAAATAAAATAAAAGCATATTGCAGTCATGCTCCACTGCATATGGTTGAATTCAGCCTCTTGGGTCAGTGTTGTTGCCAGACTGCACAAACATATGTCATCCACGCATACACTGATGTGCCCATAGGCTGCGGTGCTCAGGAGTGCACAGAACCCACGTGCAATGCCCCTCTGTAGCAAGCAAATGTGCCTAAGGGCCCCTTACTTGTCCATCTCAGATAGTAGAGTAGTTCCACAGAGCTGTCATGGCAGCTGGTATAAGGATGAATGCACCTCACAACCCCTTTCCACAGATTTCTTGGGGGAAAAAAAAAGCTGCCGTTTGTTTGATGCTCAGCTTCTGAACCCTATGTTTATTTTGGTAAGTTCCCAGCTGCATGAGACAGAGCCTGGCTCCTACTATTAAGGATGAGATCCCAGATACTCCCCAGTCTCACTTGCCGATAGGGCACTAGTATATAACTTGGTTCTGCAGATTTGATACGGAATTGAAAGTCAGTGACATGAAAAGTCAAAGGCCATGCAGAACCCACTCTGGTGAGGGTAGGGCAGCAATGGCAGTGGTATCTAGATCCCACAGGCAGGAACAGCAGTTATATTCATAAATGGAGCTCCAGTGTCTGTGATGGGGGGGACCGTGGGGTCTTTATGGGCATGACTTTGGGTATCGTTTCTGGCACCCTGCCCTCCAAGCTTAGTCTAGCACACTTCCAGAGATTCTATGAGGTGCCTGATAGCCATCTGTTTTTAAAATTACAAGTGAATTAATTATATTTCTGCTTAAATTGCTAATTTCAGTTTCTATTGCTTGCTATCTAAGAATTGGGACACAACTCCATCTGGTTGTCTGACCCCAAGTGGTCTTGGTTGATTGCGTATCTTGGACTTCCTAGGACACAAATGTTTAAGACTATTCTGTTTTATGATCCCTTGAAGACATAAATATTTATTAAAGTGTGTTATAATTTTTGGTTCGGAACATAGGATTTGATATTGAGGCCAGATGAGAGATTCTCTTCATACTTTTAAAGTGCTTGTGTTGGAGAGCCTCCACATGCGAGAAGGGGGCAGGAAACATCTGAAATTTGCACTGAGCCCAAGCCATCAG